AAAGCAAAACACGAAAAAGCAAAGCAAAACAAAAAAAATAACAAAACAGAAAACAAGAACAAAAAAAATCAACACAAAATAGTGACTATTATTTCAGTGTGTCCTTCATGTGAAAGCTATTGAGGACCAAATATATAACTATGTGTAAGAAGAAATTACTTCCTAAACAGTAACTGAAAATACTTAGTTAAACTTGCTGTGGATGTTGTCTTGGCAGTTGTCACCTTACATTATTTGTCAAAGGAAGTGTGTTTGGCAGTTAAAAATCTTTCCTTAGATTTAGTGGTGGACTTTAACCTCTTAAATACATGTTAGTATATCAGATTGTGTCCTTGAAAAATATTTTACTTGTATGAATCATGACAATGTCTAAATCTTTACTATTCTTCTGGCAAAAGCATCAGTAAGAGAGAAGGTGAAAAAGAGAAGTATAGCCTTTACGTCAGAAAAATATTCTTTTTAGCTGCTTACTTTCTCATGAAAAGTAAAGATGTTTACAGTGTATGCCAAGATTTTCAGTTTCTATATAACAACAGTTAGAGGTTCTAATCATACTGAAAATTGTGTTATAATGGCCTGAGCCATGTTGCTAGGAAACAATAGGTTCCAATTTTGTATTCCTGCTCTCACTCCTGTGCTGAAAAGTGACTGGATACTGTACGGTTCATGTTCTCTGGCTGCAGTTAAATGGTCTTTTGCATTTTGCTCTGGCTTTCAGGCCAGAAGCATGCATTTTTCTACAAGAGCATCACAACAACATGCTGTAAATATTTAAAGTTAAACATTATGTGTCGATATTTGAAAGAAAAGTACTTTGAATATTTCATTTTTAAAAAATAAAATTGCAAACGAACACCGTGTCCCAGTTTATTCATGCGCCAAACTGCATTCTCAAGTCAGTCTGGTCACCTGAGATAGGAAAAGTAACTCCCTGATGGGGAATAATAAAAACCACATCATCTCGAAAATGTAGGTGCAGAAATCAAAAAGGCACTAATCCTAGCCAGGTGTCTCTTCATTTTTATTATTCATACAAATAGGATCTCTGACACAAATGACCACTTAATAAACAAAGAAGAGTAGCTGTTGTGAATTTAAATGCCTCTAGGCTATGACTTTTTCAAAGGTTTTACTCTATCCCTTTGATGCTTTTCTCAGTGATAGAAAGAAAATTAAAAATAGCAGAAAAAGCTGGGGAAGGATAGTTAGAAGACCGGGATGCCCAAATGCATTTGGCAAAAAAAACAGATGTTTGACGTAGAGGGGGTTTCACTCATAATAGACTAAAAACCACAACAGCTCTTCCAAGGCACTAGGCCATAAACAATTATAATTGCCATTTGTCGCTTGTTTTTCACAAGAAGATATTTCCAAGTGACACTGGGGAAACTGGCCAAAAGAAAAAATTCAACTTGGCACTACAGGGGCAAAGAGAGTCCAACTATCCCGTGCTGAAATGTACACCACTTCAAAAATGCCCTGTTTATATATATATATATATATATATATATATATATATATACACACATGTATAAACATATATCTACATACTTACGTATATATACATGTATATGTGTATGTATGTATAAGTGTATATATCTATGTATATGTACCGGTTCATGTTAGCATGGTACACACACACATATACACAGAGTGAAAAGATTCACAACCTATCAACAAAAAGGGGGTTGACATTAGCATCACCTGGGGTTTTTCTTCAACATATACAACATACCAAACTCTTGAGTATTTAAAAGAAGAAGAAGAAGAAGAAGAAGAAGAAGACAGGCATAGTGGCACATGCCTTTAATCTCAGCAGCTTGGCAAGATGAGTCAGGAGGATTTCAAGTTCAAAGCCAGTCTCTGCAACTTAGTGAATCCCTGTCTCAAAATTTAAAAAAGAAGGGCTAGAAATGTGGTGCAGTGTTTAAGCATCCCTGGGTTCAATCTTTGGTGACAAAAATATAACAATAAATAATAAAAAGGCAGGAACTCCAACATTGGCAGAATTATTAAAGGAAATGAGAGCTTTCTCCCTTTTTTCCCTTCCCTATTCACCTCACTTTTAGAGATCTTTGAATATCAATGTAATCAAACATTTTGCAATGTTACTACCTTGAAGTTATATAATTCTAGTACCTCAATAATTCTATGAAGTAAGTAGGATTTAATTATTCCCACTTAGCAAATGCAGTAACAGTCACAAACTCTTGCCTAAGTTCACATAGGTTTTCGGTAACTGAGGTGAAAGAAAAATTCAGGTCTTATGTATTACTGCTTTCGTTCTCTGTCCAATACTGAGTGTGGCATCACCTTCTGTCGTCTTGTGAGAACAATTTCTTTTTTGTGCATAGTGGGGCATGTAGTCAAGATACATATGTGTATGGATGGATGTGTGTGTATGTTAATATGCTCTATCCAGTTTGTCACGTTTGTTTTATCTTCATACATTAAGAATATCTTCATTTAAGAAACAAACAAACAAAAACCCTGCTGAGTATGAAGGGACATGCCCATAATCACAGAGGCTTGGGAAGTTAAGGCAAGAGGATAGCAAGTTCAAAACCAGCCTCAGCAATTAACAAGGAAGCATTAAGCAACTCATTGAAACCCTATCTCTAATGAAATACAAAAAAAAAAAAAAAAGGCTAAAAAACAAACCAAATAACCCAATGATAAGAATTCAATCTTTTATTACAAGTTTAGCCAGTGATCCCAAATTATAAAAAAAAAGTTCAAAGTAGATAGTTTAACTTCATTCTTAGCTGCAAACAGTAAAACAATGGTATCCCATTTACTGTAAGGGCAAACACAGATGGGAAAGTTGAATTTATGATACCATCACAGGAAAACTAGGCATCCTGCAACCTTGAAATACTCAAGGGAAAATCTGCATTTTATTATCAATAGACTTTAGATTCTGAGCTCAATAAAATAAATCAAATAAAACATGAGCTGATGTCAAAATATTCTTAATAGATTTGAAAACACTTCTCACATTTTAAAATTTTCTATCCATTCTATCACAAAGAATACCTTAAATCCAGCACATTATTTATACCAGAGGACTTGATCAGAGATATTCTCTGTAGACTTATTCTACCTATGCACTGCCACAAGTTTCCCTGCCTGTAACAAACAATTACCTAAGCTTGTCTCCCAGCTGACCTTATCTCTTAAGAACAAATTTCAGAGGAAATAAACTAGTATTTGATAAGCTGTCATGTTCCTTGTGGGCTTGCTGACACTTTTTTTTTTCTAAAGAGAGGTGTATGCTTGGAACTAGATCTGCATTTTTCTACCTCGACTCAGCATCTTACCAGTTCATGTTAACATGGCAATATTTTAGATACAGCAAGAATATGACCTTTCTGTATAGGTGCAACCTATTACATACTGAGAAATAATAATGATGCTCATGTTGGTAATGAAAAAGTAAAAAAAAAAAAAAACTTGATGAATAAAAGATCAAGCAAAGAAGATAGGATAGGCTCATCAACTGGAAAGTTTGACAATAGTAAAAAAGATTTTATCTTTTCCAGGGAATCAGTCCAGTAAGATAAGTAAGGTAGCCTACATGAGTGCTTTATTTAGTTTATTAATTAGCATCTGTCTCTGAATATTTTTAAGGGAATATTTTAAGACCATTTAGGTAAATAAAGCATTTGAATACTTTTGATTTTACATTAGAATGTAAAAAAACTAATAATTCCAGAAAACTTTTTCCAAAATAGACCCTCATAAAAGCAAACATCATTCATATATTTAAAATTATTCCAGAATTAACAAGTTAGAAAAAGTAAAAAAAAAAAATGGTTACATGTATTAAATATTTAAATGCAAGCTACAAATATTTAAAGTTTATTTAATCATATAAATTTTATTTTAAAAGTAGGTTTTCTGAATTCCTTTACAAGTTAAAGCAAGGCTCTTCAAGAAATGATGAACTGCCACCATGCATTCCTACGGCCATACTCCACCTTTGCATTCTCATAGCATTCATGTTAAATGCTCAGAAATCAGATCTAACCAGCTTTCTAAGCAGTTCATTAATTATTAACCAAGCTTATAACATTCATGCATAACCCAGAATTCCAATATATTAGCTTACAATGAAACAGCCTTTTCCTGTGGACCACGGACCAAAGTATTTGTGGTGATTCATTCTGACTCTAAAGACAGGTCTACCTACACACTGAGAACCTCACTTAAGTAGGTAGGGACTTTTATTGTGGTTGTTTTCTTGTCATTTTTAGTTTCCTTTATTGTCTTTTATTATATTGTCTTCTTATCCAGTGAACTTTGTGAAGGTAGGGAACAAATGTTTTTACTCCTCTACCCCCAGTGCACTATTATGTTTGTTAAGTGAGTGAATTCTGGGAGCCCTGAAGCAACATGGCATATAATCAAACACAAAAATATTGAATAGATAAATGTGAGAAGAAAATACTGCATACAAGTTTGACTCTCACTCAGGTTTCAATCACTCAAAATTGTTAAAAATTAATATGTCATAAGCTTTCCGATGATTTGTAAGGGTTACCTAATAGGGAGACTGCTCACAAATCAATCATGAGCCACAGCTACTGAAGAGTTCCTTCAAATGAGTCTTTATGTGTAGTAGAGAGACAGAAAAAAAATGAAAAATAAAAATATGGTTCATCAGATTTCAAATATAATTTCAAAACCTATAACATCAAATACAATAAACATGTAAGGCATAAGATTTTAAATTCCAGAATGGTCTGTGAAATTTACTACCCAACATCAGAACATGGCAAGAAGGTTTCTTTGAGATTTAAACAAAATTCTTTACTCTTTAGTACTTATTTTAGCATACTTCTTCATAACTCCCAAAAGAGCCTATTACACCATAGCGAGTGAAGAACTGCATGCGACAAAGACAAGGAACACCAACCACCTTTCCACCATACAATCAAGCAAGAATTTAAAAATAGGTAACTATCCAATAACATTTCACTAAAAATGGTGCTTTTATTAAAAAAGAGGATTATTTTTATTTATACTTGGCAAGAACTGACATTAATCTATAAAGTATTCATTATGCTTTAAATTGTCTCCTATTTGTAAATATAATAACTAAAAATAACCTAAGGAATTATTTTTTCCCAATCCTCATTTCAAAACTTCTCATTATCTACAATATCCATTTCAACTTTAACATCAGACTACATACTTCCAGTACAGGACTATGATGATGTTAGAAATGCATTTATAGCTCACTGAACTATATTATCTACAATATACAAGACTTAGCATATATTTAAATTATTGAAAATAAAGTACAAGGTGTATTATTTTTCTTCATGGTGCTTTCAGGCAGACATCAGAATCTCTTCTCCCTAATGAAAAAGAATAACAAAAATCAAGAAAAGATCAACTTACAAAGGATTAAGATTACAGGTTAAGTTGTAAAATTTCCAAAAGCCTGAAATTCACAATGATGCAGTGCATTGATAGACTTCAAGCAACTATTATTTAAAACTGAGTTATAAAGCCTGGCATATTGGGCAGAAAAGAACAATTAGCCAATTTGTGGCAGTGGAACAAAAACGTTTAGCACTGAATTTCATTTGTGGTAGTAAAATATAATTCATTCAAGCACCACCAATTCAGAAATCAAAATCACGTGGATTAGGCTAACATTAGCCTTTATATTCCTAAACAAAAAAACTAGTTTACCAGGCAAAGGTAAAGGACAGCCCAAGAGTTCTCTGAATTATCCCATCTTTCAATCATTTATGTCTAGATTAGCAAAGTGAAATGGTACTTATATAACTACAAAAGGGAACTGCTTTTCAGTCTTTTGGCTTAGATCAAGTGTATATCTATATTTTAAAAAGACTGAAAGCACAAGATGGGACAAAGGAGATTAAAATGTCATATCACCTCAGGGCTGGGAATATAGTGCAGTGGTCGAGTGCTTGCCTGGTATATACAAGGCCCTAGGTTCAATCCCCAGTACTGGAAAAAATAAAATATAAAGAAGTTGTGACTTCGTGGAACTTTTTATATTTTTGCAGTTTTATGACAAGCTTATAGTATAGCAGACTGAAATTATGGCACATAAATAGTCACCTCTCTTTCTTGATTTGCTGGCTGTATCTATTCATTATATTTTTCTTACAGAACTTGCAATTGATTATATGCTTATGAATAGGCTGATTCCTTAACACTCAGCTTCCAAACCCTGTCAAAAATCAACACTGAACCATACCTGTAGTACCTTGTGTGCTTCTAGCAGAGGACTTCTCAACCGGATACTGCAGAGGTATTACGATGCCTTGATCTGGCTTCTGAAATGCTGAAATGAGATTTTTTATTTTCCGGAAAAATCTTTTATGTACCCCAGGTGCTGTCTGGAAAATAAAAGGCCAAGCAAATTATTTACCTACCTCATAATACTACAAAAAGGCCTACAAAATGTGGGAGGGATGCTTAGAGAAGTAACATTTGTATAACTTCTTCAAATATTTGAAAACATAAGGAAGAAAAAACAACATCCCAGAAGAGCTTACTTTGGTTGGCTGAATTTCCCTGCAAGAAGAGCTAATGAGCTGTCATTTCAGTTCTCCCAAGGGTGGTATTAGTTTGTACAAGCTCTTGTTCATTGCCCTGCCCTTCCTGCCTGCTATCCATTATACATCCTGAACCTCTAAGGGTATACAGGCCATTACCCACAATGAATTTAGCAACAGAGGGATGCAGTTAAACATAGAAAAAGCACAGATCCTACAGGTCATTAATAAAAAGACTGAGGAACCCCAAAACAACCAACAATCCCTCCTCCCTGACATCATTTCACAATACAAAATACTACACAGGAAATTAAAAATTGACTGTTAGGATATACACAATGCATGGCTAGTTAGTCCTCATCTCTTTCACCTTCTGTGTCCTGCTTCATCCCTCACATTAAATTTTTTCTTCTTTGGGAAATTTCCCTATCCTCCCCCAAATTTCTCTCTCCATCAGCATTGTATTGTGACAAGATTTTCCCTGTGACATGAAAATGAAAAGCTATATAAGGTCACCTTTATTTATTTGTTTTTAAGGAGATCATTATTTGCAGGTGACTATTAAAATGTTTTGCTTCCCTAACATCAGTTCCCTTGCAAAAACACTGCCTGAATTCAATAACAATTTCCTGCAGAAGTTTATGAGCCAAGCTTTAGGCATCAGCTCAAAACTGTCATTTTTCATAAAATAAATTAGTATTGCTTGAGCAATTGAACAATGACTAGTTTTTTTTTTCTTTTAGAAAGTTACTTTTCAGCTATTCTATATGGAAAATTTTTGAGGTGGAAGCTGCTTGTTTTTTAACATTTAATGAGAAAACATGAAGATTGGCATGCAGACTTCTATCAAATAGACAATATGCTAGAAATAACTAGACTGTCCATGCTAACTCTTGGTCATTTTCTACATTGGGGTAAGTAATTTTCCATCAAAAACACTGCAAAAGTTCTTTTAGCTCCCAATTAATGGCCATTCATATGCTTCTAGTGATGTAGAACAGTCTCCCACCCAGCTCAATCTCTGTGTTCCAGACACCTTCCTAAAACTCTATTGAGACTTCATCCAAAACAGCATGGTTCTAATAAAGTCAGAGTCACCACCAAGAGGAGAAACTATACCCTCCCCTCTGTGGAAAGACTTCAAACCACACATCTTTTTAACTATTCCTGTGGCTCATAAAACCATTTATCAACAGAAGCATCATTTTGCTGGGTACTGATTATCCATGCCGACAGAGAAAAATGACAGCACTGGATGTGTAGAAATAATTTCAATTTGGAATATAATATTTTCTTAGCACATGATTGACCTAATTTATAGTGTTTTGTTTACATTAATAAGTAAAATTATTTAGTATCTCTGATCTTGTGATAAAAAAGACCCAGAAAAGCACAAAGGCACTAAAGTTGGCAGGGAGAGGTCAGTACATTCTTTACAAATGTACTGCTGACAATTCACATTTTAAGAATTGATAGTTAGCTATATGTAGAATTTTCTAAATTAATAATTCAGCAAAATTTTACCCTGAGTCACAGGAGCTAAGTTAATAGCTTAGACTAAAGGTCTACTTAAAATGAAAAATACACATAATATCTGTCTTTTGTAATTAATTGGATCCAAGGTTCAATTTCATCCCACTCCTTAAAACAAATCTCAGACTTGCCTAGATTTCTAGTATAATCTTTTCACAAAAGATGGAGTATTACTGCCATGATTTTTTCTTGCAGTGTGGCAAACTAAAATGTTATTCCAAAAAGCAGTATAAATATCTATCATTTACCCAATTTTGAAAATACATTTACCACAAGAATAGTACCACTGACAACTCTCATCCTGTCACTGAACTCAGCTGTTATTCAAATCTGTACATTTCCCATACTGTCACCTCTTAGCTATCCATGGAAACATGTTTTGGATCACAGCTGGTCTTCAATATGCTCTAGAAAATTTTTCTAGTCAGGTGATATGAGATCCAAGAATACATACTAGTTTAATATTCACCTTAGAAAAACATAACTAAGAAGGCAAATTCAGCAGAGAGAAAAAATGCAATATGTATTTCAAAAATAAACAATTTTGAACTGTTTTGTATTGGGGGATAATCCATGCCAATCTTCTGCTTTCTTGGTGCAGATAATTGCAATATCATTATATAAACAGGGTCAGATTAAACAGAAGGAAGAGGGGGCATTTATGTTCAATAAGCCCTCTCTTTAACTTGGTCACAAGGGTGTAACAATCTGCATATGATGCTATGTTTGAAATGGAGGAAAACACATTTAAAAACAAGGTTGTTAAACTCTAAGAATCTGAGATCCCATTCATAGAAAATATTTTTCAGCAACAAAGGATACTTCCCTAGAGACAAGAACTATTTCTGGTCATACACACACACACACACACACACGCACATATTTGTAACTATCCTTCATGATAAATGAAGTTTAATTTCTTATTTAATATCTCTTCAGTGATAGAGTATTTTAAAAAATAAGCAGGAACAGTTTTGATTAGAAATGATATTGCTTTTCCTTCAGTTAGTATTATAGTATTAATTATCCTGGTATAAAGTAATAATGTGTTTGAAAACTTGCCCTAATACATCTAAGTAGTTCAAAATGTTTGCACTCTGTAATTAGTACTTTCAAGTTTACTGATGAATTTGTAAAGCTTCGAGCTTTTAATTTTTTAAATGTACACTTTAGAGTTTCCTAAATGCATAAACTAAGTTTTTAATAAATGTTGATATTAGCATTTAGGTTTCCAAAATTTCATAATAAATTTTCATTATATTTTATTATATATAAGTTATGTATAAACTGCATTTATACTTTCATTATAAAGATGGACAGCTGTAAGGAGAACCCATAGAAAGCATATGTAGTTAAAAGTTTCAGTAGAGGCCTCAATGATTGATAAGAAGTGATATACCATACAACTCTAGTCCATGGAAATGGATTTCACTCTATAGGCCTTTCTTAGAATGGTACCGTGAGTTTCAAACATTTTCAAAGTCACAAGAACCCTTTGTTGTAAAGAACTATTACTCTGAGCCCTAGATTATAAGTAAAATAAAAAGGGAACTGCTCAAATTGAATTCAAGGTGTAGATACTGAGAAATATACCCACTTACCTCCTCCTCTCCTGCACCACCCCCCCACCTACTGCAAGAAGCCCCAGTGTTCCAGATAGAAGAACACTAGAATTTTGCAGAGCATATCATAAAAACACAGCAATGTATCCTCTCCTCTATTCCAACTCTCCATAGGCTTCCAATCATGGCTCAGCTGGGCCTACTGCCTCCTCACACACAGCAGCATTGACCACCCTAATACTTGAAAATTCTCTATTCTTTGAACTCCTGTTCTAGATAACACAGCACTGGACTATATACAATCACTTTGTTCAACAATTTTCAAGAGTTCACATTTTTACTAGGTGCCAGGCCCTATGACTAAAAGATGCTTTTAGTCCTCAAAATGAGCCCTGTGAGTAAAGAACTATTTTCAGACTCATTTTACAAATGAAGAAACTGGTTCACATAACAGTGAAGTAACCTATCCAAAGTCTCAGGCCTATTGGGGAAAAACAGGGACCAGACCTGAAACCTGGATGCACTTGACAATGAAGCCCACTACTGTTTAATTTCATGTTATGTCTCTGAAGGATTTTATAAACTCTTAGAAAACAGTAATTATGTTTTTTTTAAATTCCCAACAGCACCAAACTTCTATTGGGGCCACTTAGAAATATATCTGATTTAATTATCCTCCCCCACTTTTTGTGTACCAGGGATTGAACCCAGTGGCACTTACCCACAGAACTGCATCCCTAGTCATTTGATTTATTTATTTTTCAATTTTTAATTTTGAGACAGGGCTAGGTTGCGTAGGCTGACTTTGAACTTGAGATCCTCCAGTCTCAGCCTACTGAATTGCTTGGATTACAGGCATGCCCTACTGCATCCAGCTATTTTATTGGCTTTTATAGGCTTTCTGAAACTTCATTTATGCACAAAAAGTTTGACATAATCTTTCAACTTTTTTATCTTTCCCCAAAGTGAGACCACTCCACACAATGGTGGCTGAACAGGACTGGGACCAAAATTCTCTAAAGATTACTTAATAAGCCATGAAAATTTTTTGATACGAGCTTTAGTGATTTAAATTTGATGAATACTTTGATGATGTTTAATGTGACTTCTAGTTTATAAAGCCAACCTAAATATCAAACACCTCCCTGATACCCACAGAAGCAAAAATAAATAAAAGAGCTATACCTCAGCACTCCAAGAACCTGTTTCTGTCTGGGACACTCGGTATGTATAAATGTAACCTTGATACCTGTGAAAGAATAAATTTCCATTACTAAAAATTTCAAAAGAGCAATGGATGTTCTAAATTTGAGTTTACTGTTACATATAAATGTTATTTATACTAGGATGCACAAGTATGGTGCGATTGCATTCGTAGGAAGCGAAGGCCAGCGAGTCTTTGTATCTGCCTAGGCGCAGCTCACAGAGAGCCCTCCTTATCTTTTCATGTTTTTTAAAAGTGGGAATTCACATTATAAGGATTTTTCTAGTGGAAAGACTGCTTAGATGAAAATATACTAGGCACCTATTGTCATTGATAAAAATAATGAATTATTAAATAGTTCTAACAAATGATAGGCTTATTATTTTTACACAGAGGGCCATAAGGTGAAAAATTTTCACTAGGATAAGAACCCCAAGGCCCACTTAAGTTAATAGTAATATTGATATTCCTAATTATGATATTACCATCATATAATAAGTATATAATTATGTAAGAATATAACCCTTCTTATGATATTGCAATTGTTTCTAATATAGAGTAACAATATTACTTCATTACTCCATAACATATTATAATATAGTAGTAATAGTAATTGGAATTTTAAGAGAATCCTGTACTGTGGAATATTATTCAGCCTTAACAAAGAATGAAACTGTCGTTTGCAGCAAATGGATAGAACTGGAGGACATTACATTAACTGAAGTAAGTGAGGCACAGAATGACAAACATCACACATTCTCACTTATATGTGGAAGCAAAAAAAGTTGATTTCAAAGAAGTACAGAATAGAATAGTGGTTACCAGATACTGGGAAGGGTGTGGAGGAGGGAAAGAGGTGAAGAAGATAGATAATTAGTACAAGAGTGCCTTTGGATAGAAAGAATTAATTCTAACATTCTATAGCATGGCAGGATAACCATGGTTGAAAATGACTATAATTGTATATTTCAAAATAGCTAGTAGAGATGGTTTCAAATATTCTCAACATAAGAAATGAAAAATGTATGAGGTGATAGATGTGCCAGTTACCCTGATCTGATCATTACACGTATTGTATACATATACTAAAATCTCACTGTATCCCATAAATATGGACAATTATTTTGATTCAAATAAAATAAAAAATTGTCAATGAGAAAAAAGGAATGCTGCTAATGTACTTAAAAAAGCTTGTCATTTGAAATATGGTAAACAGTCTCCTCCATTATTTAGTTTACATGCATTTTACATATCTGTACAATCGATTTCTACTATATGCCAAGATTTTTACATGTTGCATTAGTCTCCTCAGCTACCATAAAATGCCATAGACTGGATGGCTTAAGCAATGTAAATGTATTTCTCATAGTTTTGGAGGTTAGAAGTCCAGGATCAAGTTACCACCAAGAAAGGTTTTCATACTAAGGTCTTGTTTCTTGACTTGTTGACAGTTGACTTCTGCCTGTGTGCTCACATGGTCTTTCCTTAGTGCATGAGTACAGGGAAAGAGAGTAAGATGTCTCTCTCTTCCTCTTATTACAAGGCCACCAATCCTATCAGACTAGGGCCCTACTCTTATGACTACATTTAACCTAATTACCTTCTAGAGAGCCTATCTCCAACTACAGTCACATTGAGGGGAACTGATTGAAACATATTTTAGGGACACACAATCAGTCCATAGAATTTCATCCCTAGCCCCTCAAAAATACATGAAAAATACATTCATTCCATCCCCCAAACCTGAAAAGCCTTAATGCATTCCAGCATCAACTCTAAAGTCTGAAACCCAAAGTCTCATCTAAATATCATCTAATCACATATGGATGAGATTCAAGGTACCATTCACCTCAAGGCAAAATTTCTCTTCTATGCAACCAGACAAGTTACATGTTTCCAAAATACAATGGTAGGATAGATATTTCCATTCCAATAGATGGAAATTGGAATCAAAGGTAACAGGTATCAAGCAAGTCCAAAATATAGCAAGAAAATTTCCATTAGAAATTAAGGTTACTGAATAATCTTTAGATCAACACTCTGCCCTTCAAGCCCCCAGGGATAGCAGACTCACCATCACATCTCTGTGGAGGAGCCCCTGCCCTCTTTTGTTGGAGAGCTAGCCCTGTCCATACAGCTGTTTTGTCCTCAGTACTGCCCTTTGGCACAACAACCTTGACCCTTAGGCCTATGCACTCTGGGTTTGTGGTGGGAATGACAGCCTTGGTGACTTCTGAATTGCCTTCATGTCATCCTTTCCTTTTCGTGCCGGATAAAGCATGTTTGAAGCCAAATAAATCTACCCTGCTGTTTTGTTCCCTTTGCTACAAACTGTCAGTGTCTCTGTTACTCGGTTCAAACTTATTCATGGATTCTGCTGAGATAAATAGTTAACGTCATGGGTAATCTCCTTAAGGAGAGAGTACAGTCACACCCTTGATATTCTCTTTAGAACAATTTTCCTCCATTTTTGTAATATAAGCTGAGAAGCTGGGCACAGTGGTGCACACTTGTAATCCCAGGTACTTGGCAGGCTGAGGCAGGAGGATCTTAAGTTTGAGGTCAGCCTCAGCAAGTTAGTGAGACCCTATCTCAAAAAATAAAAAGGGCTAGAGATGTGGTCCAGTGGTTATGGGCCCCTGGCTTCACTCCCCAGAGGTCCTTAAGTATTTAATTTTTGGTTAACAATTTCTTCCTCAACTCATCTTTCTTCTTTGACAAGCTGAAGGAACCAAGTCACCCCTTAAAAACTTTGGTTAGGAATCTCAGTTCAGGGAGCTGGGGGTGTAGTTCAGTGGTAGAGCTCTTGCCTAGCATATATGAGCCTTGGGTTTGTTTCCCAGCATGAAAGAAGGGAAGAAAGGAAGGAAGAAAGGAAGGAAAGGAGAGAGGGAGGCCTCAAATAAATATCCAATTTCTTTTCTCACAATTTTATTTTCCACAAAATACTAGAACACAGTTCAGTCACGTTCAAAGACTATCATTCTTCCAGTTTCCAATGATATGTTCTTCAATTCTATTTAAGACCTCATCAGAATGAACTTTAGTTCTACCAAAAATCTATACATGGTAATAGGCTTTTCTAGCATGCACCCAAAAATTCTTCCTGCCTCTACCCATTAACTAGTTCCAAAGCCACTTCCACATTTTTAGGTATATGTTACAGCAGCACCTTATTCCACAGTACCAACATCTGTGGTAGTAACCTTGGATGCCATAACAAAATACCATAGACTAGGTGGCTTAAACAATTTCTTTCTTATAGTTGTAGAAGCTGGAAAGTCTACCATCAAGGTGCCAGCAAGGTAGGTTTCATTCTGAGGACACTTTCTTGGCTTGTAAGCAGTCACTTTCTTGCAGTGTGCTCGTATGACCTCTTAGTGTGTGTGTTTCCCTCTTCTTATATCCTATCCTTATAGACTCATTTAATCTTTATTACCTCCTAGATTTCCTAACTCAAAATACAGGCAAATTGGCATAAGAATTTAAACATACGAATTTGGGAGAACATAAGTCCATAGTAATGCATTATCTCCTTTGAATCCCACAAAAATTCTCTAAGCTTTATATTATGAAATTCATTTGAGATAAAGAAACTGAAATTTTGAAAAGTTAAGCAACTAAAGCCAGAGCAGAGATCAAGTAACAAAGATGGGACTTCAGTTGGGTGCAGTGGTGCATGCCTGTAATCCCAACAGCTCAGGAGGCTGAGGCAGGAAGTTCATGAGTTCAAAGCCAGCCTCGGCAAAAGCAAGGCACTAAGCAACTCAGTGAGACCCTGTCTCTAAATAAAATACAAAATAGGGTTGGAGATGTGGCTCAGTGGTCGAGTGGCCCTGAGTTCAACTCCAGTACTCCAAAAAAATGGGGCTTGAATCAGGTCCATTTGATTCTAGAACTTGGATTCTTGATCCCTCCTGCAACAGATAAAAATTTATTTTAGGATACATGGTAATGCTACTGAATTTGCCTAATGAATTTCTTTTAAATTTTTAATATTTAAATTCATTTTAACTGGCAAATAAGAACATAAAATTCATGTGTTTTAGACTGGGGCTGTAGCTCAGTGGTAGAATGCTTGCCTAGCATGTGTGAGGCACTGGGTTCAGTCAGCAGCACCACATAAAAATAAACAAATAAAATAAAAGTATTGTGTTCATCTACAACTAAAAAGTTTTAAAATAATAAATTACATTAGTGGGATAATGTGATGATTTGATATATGTGTACATTGTATAATGCCTAAATCAGGTTAAACATATCTCCTCAAATATTTAGCATTTCTTTATGTCAAAAACCTTCAAAATCCTTTCTTCTAGCTTTTAGAAAAGTACAACACATTATTGTTATCTATAATCATCCTACTGTGCAACAGCAGGCCACAACTTGTTCCTATCTAATTGTAACTTAGTGTGATCAACCTCTGATCAACCTCCCCCCATCTCTCTCTCTTCCCCACACGTGTTCCCCAGTCTCTGGTAACCACCATTCTACCTTCAACCTCTATAAGATCAACTTTTTTAGATTCCTATATGAGTGAGATCATGCAGTACTTGTCTTGCTGTACCTTGCTTATTTCACTTAACATAATAATCTCCAGTTCCATCCATGTTGTCCCAAATGACAAGATCCCATTCTTTTTATGACTGACTAGTATTCCATACATATGTGTACCATATTTTCTTTATCTTGCCATCTTGGCTACTGTGAATCATGTTGCAATGAACACAGGAATGCAGATGTCTCTTCAACACATTAATTTCATTTTCTTTAGATAGATATCTAGTAGTTTGATTGCTGGATTATACAGTATTTCTATTTTTAATTTTTGGGGAGAGGTACTGGGGAATGAACTCAGGGGCACTCAACCACTGAGCCACATCCCCAGCCCTATTTTGTATTTTATTTAAAGACAGGATCTCACTGAGTTGCTTTGTGCCTCGCAGTTTCTGAGACTGGCTTTGAACTCATGATCCTCCTACCTCAGCCTCCTGAGCTGCTGGGATTACAGGTATGCACCACAGCACTCAGTTACCTATTTTTAA